CTACATGGCAGCAAGTGATATGCATGATTAATTTCTTATTGAAATTTTTGTTAATGTAATTTTGTTTTGTTACTCTATTTCTCAAGCATTCGAACTGTACCACATGTATGAAGGACGTATTTAACAACACACATTGTTTTTGGAAATTGCCATAATAGTTTTTGTTGGCATATTGTAATTATATGAAGCGAGTATATTTTCTGTTACGTAGCTCGTCAGTACTTATAGGCTTAAAATTGAAACAAATTGGGAATAAAATGTGTTAATTAATTAATGCCGACGACCAAATCCGTTCGCTAGGATTGTCGATGAAATATACTGCAGTGGCTAACAACAGATGGCAATGAGGACAGCGCTTTGTACCGACATCTATCGAGAGGTTTTGAACTGTTTGTGATGTAAGTTGCATTTGACTTACAATGGCTATTTAAATTTATACCACCGTGACCAGTGGAAGTTAAAAAGGTTATGGAATGTACCAGAAATTGAAATACGAAGTGCGTAATATAACTAGACCAACTTCATAAAATATCATGGCAGCTGGTTATACCGATTTGAGGCAAAAGTTGCAATTTAAGCAAAAAAGTTTCAGATCCCAAGAAAAGGAAAAGAAGTTAGTTAAAATATTTTATTTTTCAAGTCCAAGTGATCTAGATTAGTTGCATGTCATGGATGTGAACCAAAGTTATTTGGTAGTATATACATGGGGGTGTAATTTCCGTGTAACAATTAAAGTGATGTGAGAAGTAAGAGGTTACAGTCCGTCTTGTAAAGCATGGCACTGCCTTGCATAAATACAGTAGAACCATTAATTTTTACTGCCATCCGGATTTTCTGTATTATTTAAATTTACTTAGATTATCTCTCTGATGTGCAACAAATATATGTATATATATTACTGCCATTTACAGGTATACAAATTCGCCTCATCAGTATTCGCCTTATCAAAATGTAGAAGACAATTTAGTTATTTTAAAGCAAATCCACACAGGAATCCAACAGCGACGACTATTTGACAATGAGCAGTGTGCTGCCATTGAAGAAAAAATAGATGAAGTTGTCGAGTTGGCGGATAAGGGAAATTATAAGCCCTGCACGGTAGACAGAGCCCCACTTAGAAACAAGTGAGTATAATGAACTCTTTGTTAGAGAGCTTGCATGCTTTCATCTTGTCATATGTGTTTGTGTGTATGTTATGTGATGTGTTTTGTTAAACTAAGACGTTTTTGTCATTGTTTTAAGTTTAAAAGCTGATACATAATTGTCTTATGGCAGATACTTCTTCGGTGAGGGTTACACGTATGGCTCACAGCTGTCGAAACGAGGCCCAGGTATGGAGCGGTTGTATCCACCAGGTGAAGTGGATCCTATACCAGACTGGGTCCACAAGTTGGTCATCAAACCACTTGTGAAGGCCAATATGGTGCCTGAAGGATTTATAAACTCGGCTGTCATCAATGACTATCAGCCTGGAGGATGCATTGTTTCTCACATAGATCCTATACACATATTTGACAGGTGAGCCTTTAATGCTGCTGTGACAGTGAGGAGTAGAATGCTATTGCACTCTACCATTTAATTTCAGAGTATCTGAAATTTAGGTTGGTGGCTTATATCTTTGAACTGTGGCCAGTTGCATACACCCATTTTACTTTCTCATTGTTTTTATTTATATGATTACAGTTCTTAATGAGAGATATCTGTTGTGTTAATAAATTGAAAACTATTTTTTATAGTATTTGGACATAGTTTTGTTTGTATGTATAGTTTTGTTTCTTCATCCAGTCCTAACAAATTTTGATTTGGTGAGATGTTAATTAATTTGATTTGAGTTGTGTTATGTTTTTATTGAGTCTAGAATCAATCTTTCTGTGAGAGGGTTTGTGGTAGTTGACACCATATAAGAGATGCTGAAAAGGCCACCATGTTATAAAGTTGTTGTTCGAGTTTGTCCCTTTGCAAAAGCAACTGTATGCCCTCTATTGTTACTACCGTGTTAGTCGAGTAGACTGCGAGCTGTAAGTTAATGTTTTTGCAGGCCCATTGTCTCTGTCTCTTTCATGAGCGACAGTGCTCTGAGTTTTGGCTGCAAATTCAGTTTCAAACCCATCCGAGTATCTAAGCCCATCTTGTGCCTGCCGCTGTCCAGGGGCTGTGTCACAATCCTCAGGTAAGTCTGTATACAGTTCACAGCAAAATGATAGGAAATTTGCATGTAAATGACCAAACTACTTTTGCTTTCTATTCAGAAATTCACAGTTTAGTTCTTGACATGGAGGCAGTTTATCTTGATTGGCATTTTCTCTGATTTCTGTCAGTCCCTTAGTCAGATGCTGTAGCAGCACATAAAAATAATTAAAGATTCTGTTGTCATTGGCAGTCCATAATCCACAGCGTTAAGAAAACAGTGCAAAATAAACTGAGAAGCATTGAAATCAAAGGTTTTTATGTTCCTCTGAATGAAATGTAAGTCTGTCAGTGACAACAGATAAATGGTTTTTGAAGCGTGTCTCAGAGGAATCTACTTTAGTTTTCAGAGATGATGTGTTATTACATCTCTTTCTCTTTCCCACCCCCTCCCTCATCAGTTTCTAACAACACTTTTCATGATGTTGGTCCTGTATTAAGCCCCCAACCTTTGCTTGTACGGCTGTTAATCCTTTAGTATAGAATTTAGTTTTTTTTTTTGTATATTTATAAAAAGTAAATGAAATATTTCAGAATAAATGCCTCATATTGACAGAAGTTCTGTAAAAAGGTATACTACATCTGTTGTGCAATTAGTAGGCTATGTGGTGATTTAACAGCCATAAAAATAGCTAATGCCACCAAAATGGCAATCGCCTTGCTGTTGGTAGTTGTGCGTGTAAGTTACTCTGAGTTAGTAATGATAAGATGGACATGACATTGCATAAAACAAAAGATAAATTTACATGTAACTTTTATGTTGAATCATCTTGAATTTCTGGTTGTGGGATTGGAGGTTTCTGGATACAGTTTGTTGTCAGGATTTTCTCGTTACGTGCTTGAACCTCCGAGTTATAAAGACGAGAGGTGAATGAGGGGGTGCAGCATGTGTCATAGCTCTTGAAGGTAGTGAGTTTGTTATTTGTTAATTGAAATGTTGTGTGTCTCTCGTTTCAGTGGGTTTGCAGCAGATGAGATAACGCATTGTGTACGTCCTGAGGATACAGTCGCTCGTCGGGCTGTCATTCTGCTGCGCAGGTAAGCTTCTTCAACAGCTGAAAGTATTTGCATTGGTAGATGAGACATGACTTTATCTGGTTGGACCGAAAATTTGTTTATCCTGGCTAGAAATCTTAGTTTTGCCACAGTTTATTCTTATGGCCATATTTTTTTTAATATTATACACTTGATATTTTGTACATTTCAGTTAAGTATTGCATAATGTATTGGTGTGTAACATATTACCAGTGCCTCTTATGGTAACTCATGATCTGGTTGTACTTTGGAAGAAGTTTGTATCATATTATATAATACTTCTACTTTCACTGCTCTAATTGTTTCCACTACTATTTATTATATTCTGTTCAACCCAAATATGATTGTCATTTGCATTGTTGCCGAGTTTATATTTAATCTTCATCAGCAGGTTCTTGGTTCACATCTCAGCCCAGAAACCAGTTATCATGATTGGGGATTTTCAGATATTTACTGGAATAGTCCCTTAAATCAAGCCTCAACCACTTCCTTCCACATTACTTCCATTTAGTATTCACTGATCATCCTGTCATTTGTTGCTACAGAATCAGAGCGGGTGAAAGTGTCATTAAATAAACCAAGAAGAAATAGAAGTAATGAATTATTCATTATATAAGGTCTTACACACCTATGAAAAGATGATTACAGTTAGTGTCTTAATCACTCACAATGTAAAATGTCATAGTTAGACATTTTTTTCAGTTCAAGTCAGAACTAGGGCCATCTACTCCTATTCAGTTTCGTTCGCTCTCCTCGTGTAAGTAAACACTCGTTGTATGTGGCAGGGTGTTTCCTGATGCTCCACGGTTGGCTCCTAATGAGGTTCCACCCCCTCTCAGTGCAACTCCCACATCACGTTACCAAGAGATTAATGGCTTGTCCAGGTGAGTTATGCAATTGAGCAGTTGCTTAAACCATGATAGAAATTACAGAAGTCGATTTACTTACGAATACAGAAAACCATTGCGTTTGTAGCATTCTTGACCTGTGTTGTGAAGGAATCTTGCTATGTTGCTGACTATCCTTACTGAAGTATTCATGTTTTTCCCAGTCTCTCCACCAAATGCTATGATGGTACTTGGTGTAGGCCATAAAGGCCTCCTTTGGTACTCTTGCTCGTTCATTTTATGCTATGCTTTGAACCCTGTTACACTAACATAAACATGAGTCAAGTTATGAGCGTACTGTGTCTACGAGTCCACTCTTCTTTGTGTCAAATTTTTGATGAACCCTTTGTTTATCTGAGACAGAATCTGGCATAGGCATCTGTTTCTGCAACTTAGTAATAAGGAATTATTTTGGGTTTTTCTTTAGCTCATTGGCCCCTTCACCAAATTAAAGTTGTTTCATATGAACTGTCATGGAATGAGTATTTCATAGTACATATTTTTTTTTTTAATTATTTCTATTTCTTTTTTCTCTCTGTACTATTCTTCATAAGCAGTGAGATTTGAGATTTATGTGTAATTTTAGTGTAAATCATAGGTTTGAATCTTTGTGAATGTGCTGCCACCTCCTACATAAGAAGGAACAGGGTTAAGTTATGTGACAATGTATGAAAAGGTATTCAAATACTGAACATACTGTAGGCTTTGAACTTGATAAATGTGATACAAGTACCGCTTATTGGCGATAACCATCTGAAACCCTGCGGTAATTAATATGTCCCACTTGCTGTAACAATTGGTGACTGCATTTTGTCCACTGAATGTATTGATGGGTATTATATAATTTTCAAAATAAACTGTGATTATTTCTCTAAACAGCATCAACCAATAGATCTTTGGAGGTTCATTGTGTTTTCTTTGAGGTATTGTTTGAATTCTTAAATATTATTTAGATGAACTTCATGGTTCAAAGGGTTAAAGCAGCGATTTGGTTTGTTGGGGACCTTGAAGTTGTATGTGTGACAGGCCAGGAGATGGGGGCACTAACTCCCGAAAGAGAGTCGTGGTGGTGAGCAGCTCGCTGCACCCAAGGCACCACTCAGAAGACAGTGATGCAGGGGAGGAAGACCTGGAAGATGTGCGACAGCAGCGCGGTAGTAGTAACAAGCGTCGCAGGACCCGCAAGGAGAGCAGCCCTGCAAGTTCCACCAGCAGCCAGCATGGTGAACACTAGCATGTAGCCAACAGGTAGACTGATTCTTTGTTTGCACATGCGATAATGATGTTACTACTAGTACCTGGTGAGTGGGGCGATGCAAGTTTTGGTCAGAAAGTATGGTGAAAAGAGACTTAGGCATAGCTGTGAGGATAATGTTCAAATGGCCCTTGCAGAAGTGGGGTGTGATACAGTAGCAGGCTTTTATGAAGATGGTGATGAACCTTCAGATTCCATGAAAATAGGCCATTTCTTGATCAGTGTTTAAAGAAAGACCCTGCATCATGAAATTAGATCCATGGTCAAGTTAGTTTTAGCAGTGTAAGTTAACAAATAGTGAGGAATGTTCATCAGGATTTGGAACGAAGCAGCTGTGAACTGATGGAGGTTATTGTCTTTGCGTATTTCCCAAGGACCCAAGGAAAACCATGGAAGATTGAGGAATAGGTGGTTACCTCAGTTAAGACAGGAAATACTAGTTAGACTGTGTGCCATTCCTTTTAGTGTCATGTAGCATCCAGCGGATTCCGGCTCATGCACAGTTGCCGATGGTGACGTTACTTAACAAGTCTTAATGTTTGCCTGTATTAATGTGAAAGTGTGTAGAGTCTTGAAAGAGTGCCAGGATTTGGTTTAATGAAGAAATTTGTCATGCATTCCATGTCATAACTAGGTACCAGATGCAGTTCGGTGCATAAGGAAGCCATATATATAAAAAAAATGTGTAAAGAACTGGATCAATAAGGCAGATGTTTAACTCTCGCCATCACAAAAACACGCTTGACTTGACTTTAACCAATCTTTGATAAGGTCTTTGTTGAATAATTCAAAAAGTAGGTGAATGACATTGGGACTTAAATTCATGGGTGGAATTGTAGGTTAGACCATAAACAAAATTAAGAGTTAAAAATTTAGTCATAAAATTTATACAAAATTGCTAAACTGATTGGAAACAGCATATAGGGAGATGGAAAACAACAGAATATCAAGCAGACAATAGCAGTAAGCCAAAAGGAAAAAGAGAGTTTAGGAAGACACGACCATAACAAGTCACATGACAGGATGTTTTTTACTTTGAGACATTTTCGCAGATCTGTGCAAAAGTGTTGTAAGATGGTTGGAGCAAATTTTGTGTAGCTGTGAGTCAAGTTAGATTGTTTCTTTGCATGCTTTGCAGAAACACATTGTGGGGTGTTCATGTATGTCAGTGTGGCTGTCTCTGAAACTGTTGAATGACTATGATTTAAGTGTAATATTGGGAATCTACACTGTATGTTGTTAGCGAATTTTAATTTTGATTCATTTTGTCACTTAACATTAATATGAAGCCACAAGTAGTATCAGAGGCTTGTGTTGTTAAGCTTTTGACCGTCATTTGAAACACTTCTCTTTGTAGTGAATAAGTAACAAGTACAAGAAAAATAATTTATTTTTGTAATGGTGGTATGTTTGTATCTGCAGTAAATGAACATCGGGTTAGTGACGTGTAGAACCGCAGATGTCACATTTCGTTTGGCAAGCGTTTGCCCTCTGGACTGATTGCACCTTTCTCTGTTAGTGTGTGTAAGTGTACAATGCAAGAGAAGAACGGTTGGTGGAAAGTACACTTTTCTTTTGTTTCAGGTTCTGGAAAAAGTTTTTATGCATTCTTTCATCTGTTATTTTCACATGGCCTACTACACTGTGAAGCAGGGGCAGCTGTGTTGCAGGAAGGAGGTGTTAAATGTGCACTGTAAGAAATCATAGTCAGTTGTATGTGTGTAAGTATTATACCATGTTCTGTTAATCCTTCTGCTGCTGTTCAGTTATCCTCTTGTCTCAGTGTTTGTGAAGAGACTTTCGGATTTAAACTTTGCCCTAAAAACTTGATGGCCATTTCCTTTTTTAATTTGTTTTTAAAATTCAATTTGGAGTCATGTTAAAACTATAAACTTCTGTATTATGTGTCTTATCATGACATATAATTGTATATTTTTATGATCTGTAAAACAGAAATACTAATTTCATACTTAACATTCACAGGTTGTTTAATTTCTCTGTATGAAAATAGTTGTGTAGGTGGAAGTGATTTTACCCGATATGCATGCCTTCTTTTTGGCCACGTCTGTTGTTCCGTTAGCTTCCCCCTACTTCACCGTGTATTGCAGATGCCATGTTTACTTCTTTCATATTTATGTTATACTATTATACTGGTTACCATAGTTTTCAGAAACTTTAACTGCTTGAGAATATTTGGAGTAGGAAGCAGGGTATTATAATGAGCAATTGTTGCAGTATTGGATGTCAGTGCCTTCTTGGCACGTTTTGTTTCTTTATTCTCTGAAGAAGTGCCCACTGCAGTAATTAAGCAGGAAGTTTGTGTGACTGTACCATCTATTTCACCAGTGATGACCTAATTATGTTTTCAGCATTGAATGTCGTGGGTGTAATAATGTCGAAAGCTATACATGTACTCAGCTTCTGCGTTGATCTGTCATCTGCTTCCTTTTTATCACCAGTTTAGTGTGTAACAGGAAACAAGGCACACAATGCCATTTAAAAATGTGTGATATAACCGGAACTCTGAAGAATACTAGTTTAATGCCGATTTCATTTTTTATATTTTAAAAATTAGGGTACTTACAAAAATATAAAATTAAAACATGCAGAATAATTTATGAGTGAAGCTCCGCCTGGTGTGAAATGACTGATGATCACTGTTGTTCCTTCCCCCCTATTTGGGGAAACTTGTCTTTGATTATATTTGCAGTATTTTGGAGGTTGTTTGTGATTTGTGCTAGTTCAGGGATTTGAGTCGGTGAAGTTATAAATCATAATGGTATTGAAATTACAGATAACACAGTTTGGAATGAAAACAAACATTCCAAATTGGGAAATAGAAATATAGTATATTATGGAAGGAAACTATTGGCCAATTGAGCAAGTAATATTGTGTAAAATTAGTTATAGGAAATATGCATGATGTCATGGTTTAGATAAACGTAAGGTTTCAGCTTGCAGCTTGACTGGTGATAGGGCGGTGTATTCAGAGTTGTGAAGAAACTTCAAAGATCAGTGTTTGATAACATAATAACGGATGGAGTCATCTTAGCTTATTTACTCATATCATCAGTTACTTGATGATGATGATGACGATGACACAGTTTCATCATATATGTAGCAACCAGTTTTGTTGGTCGTCTTAGGCACTGGACTGAAATGTAATGAAAACTTTTGATTAGTGTTAACTGGTGTCTAACAAAGTAATCTTCAGATATAAGTTCCAGTTTTAAGTGAAATTTTGATAGTGGATGTTCCCAAATCAGGGGTTTCAGGTATTGAAACATAACATTCTGATGTGGAGAAAAAGGGGTAAGAATTTGTCGTATTGGAACAAGACCAGGCACCACTTTATGATCTTTTTTAATTTTCTATGAAATTAGCTGGTGACTGCTTACAGGATCATGATGGCTAAGATTCTTATGTCTGTGCCATCTCTCCATCTGCCGGACTAATGACATATGAGGATTCGCCAAAGGTTAGAAATTGATGTCCCACCATTGGCTATCTGTAAGCAGATTCTAACATCACGGAAATATTACACACATGGGGACCATTAAATGTCTTTTTGTTAGAAATATTTTTACCTTTAAATTTTTCCTACTGTAAAACGACTTACTTTTTTGCCTGCTCATTTTTGTACCAAGATAATGGAGCAACATGCAGCGAAGGCTCGACGTCCTGTTTGATGGATGAATAATCATAAGGATTGGTTTCATTCATTTATATATTTGAGGAAGTAGGGACTAGCGTTTGCAGAAATAAAACTATTTGTGGGCATTGGAAGTATAATTGTGGAAATCACAGGAAATCTTTGATTTCCATACAATTACAGAATATCCTGTGTTATTTGTAGATGTATTAATATAGTAGGGCATTCCTTTCAGTGGCTGGTGTAACCACAGTTTTTACAGACAGTATTTTAAAATGCACATGAATCTTCATTCATTATCTATGTTAGAGTGCATTTCATTCCAGTAGACTCCTCAGGCCGCGGTACTGGTAAGAAAAGCATCTTGTCTGTGATGAGCCGTTCTGTGTAGTAGCGTCAGGGGTTGAAGGTCACCTGCTAACTCGTTGCATCCTCAAGAAATTGTGTGAGGCACTGCAAAAACACATTGAAAATGTGGAAGAAGGATGTGGGCTCTGAAGGTGACTATTTTCTGGCATCTTGTGCTGTGTAGTCTCATTGATGAGGAGGCTACATACTGCAACATCCCAGAAGACAGTTGTCTTCATATTCGTTGCCGTGAGAACCTGAAACCTCATGATGTGGCTTTTGTTCACAAGTATTCGTATGTATGATAACATATGACTGTATTAAATTTCATTATTGTTAAGTAATGAGAATGTAAAAGAAATTCATTATAAATATTCTTGCTTTGATCTGAGAGTTCTGAAATCTTAACAACCAGTTGTAAAAGAATCTGAATAGTTATGTCAGAATCAGTAAGCAGGGTTTGTTGATGAAAACACCTGCAAATATTGATTGGTATTGTTCATCCATTTTGTTCACTTATTCATTAATTTGCGTGTTCATTTCTTTATGTATTTGAAATCAGCCATACTGTTTACTAGTCCCCAGTTTTATCCATCAGTTGGCTCTGTTTAGATTATGCTCTAACACAAACTCTGGAACTTCATATGAAACTTTCTTGTTTCTGACTATACAAGTTTAAATTTGAATGAGTGTAAGTAATTAGAAAATATTTGATGTTTTGTATTTTGCAGTTATGTGAAAAGTACTTTAACTGAGTAAATTAAGATGTTAGTGGGCAATACACTGACATACATCATACAATTCTTTACTAGGGGAAGACAAAGATACACATGCTCCTTTAACTATGTCAAATATCAGAAGTTGATGTGACAACAGTTTGTCCGGATTAACTGAGGAGTTGATAAACGTTTTGGTTATTGAACTGTGGCTTGTGTAATATGTTTTGCTTTGTATTACTGTACCTCATGTGCAAACAAGATTTTTAAGAGTATGGAGTTCCAGTGTTTATAGCCATAATCCGTTATCCACCAAAACTATTGTTTTGTTCATTTTTATATTTAGTTTATTGAATCAACAGAATCATGCAAGTGGAAAGTCTGAAGGGCAGAAGCATTCGCAGAGGCAAGATGATTGAAATGGGAGAAGTGTATCAAATGTTTGAAGTTGTAATTCTTTTTGCCATGTGTCTGTGCCTTCCTTTTTATAAACAAGTGTTATGAGAGAAGTAAGCTGGTATATTAAGGCAAGCAACTTGTTACCAATTGTGAAAGTATTGTATTGTTGTAAATATTGTAATGAATCCTGAACATTGTGGTTTTAGTGTACATTGTGCAGATTGTTGGAGAGACCTCATTACATTTGGTGGTTTGTGATGAGGTTCTGTTGTGCCTGGCAAGTCAGACAAAGTAGCCACTTCAAGGTGTTGTAAATTTATTAAGTCATTGTAGTAGTCCTGATGCTCGGAAGGATCATGGATACCACTAATATTATGTTTTTTTTATCTAATTTAGCGCATGGAGCAGAATCCTTCTTGAGCAGCTGATAGTTACTCAGCTAGTGAACAAACTCCCCACTTTTCATACTGGGTTTGGCAGAGAAGGCTGACATTTTCATTTGTAAATAAATTCTGTCATTGAGTAAAGACATACAAACATGTAACAGAAATCTTAGAAATTAAGTATTGTCTGTGTGTGTGTATACACACACACATACTGTTCACATTTTGGAAACTTAATGCAGTAAATGTAACCCCACCCCCACCCCCCCCTCTCTGAAGTGATGCACTCTAAGAGGCACTAAGTGAAACACGCAACGCATTGTGAATCGCTTCTCTGGTACTGGCTTTTAGTTGATCCAAAATTGTGGGCATCATCTCAAATGTACAACTCTTAAGGTATCCCCATAGAATTATAGTTTGGGCTGAGAAATCAGGAGATCTTGGCAGCAAGTTTAAATTATGAATCCATGAGATTAGATGATGCTGAAACATTTCACACAGTTTCTCCTCACTCACTCATGTAGTATGTGATGTGGTGCTATCTTGCTGGAACCACACTGTCATGTGTGTTCCCAACCAAATTCCCATACCTATGGCCTCTTTAAACCTCTACTCTTCATATTCTTGTATACTCTTCAACATAAAAATGTCAGTCTTTGCTGGACCCTGCACAGTCTGAAGGTTTATTACTGTGGTCACAAGAATTTGCCATTGGACCCTGTCCTGATCCAGTTCAGTCTAGTCCAAATCTTAACCCATGTTTCCATAAAGTCTATTTGAAACTCATAAATCCTGTCTACAAATTTTATCAAAACGTGGGTGCAAGGCTTGGCCTAACTCTTGAGCAATGAACAAAAATTCAGAATCTTGGAGAAGAGAGTGCTGAACAGAATATTACGTGTGAGGAAGCAACACAGAATTTAAATAAATTTCATAATAAAGGCTTCATATTTTGTGTTCTTCACCTGATGTTGCACAGAAAAATTACAGATGAATTTAAATTCCAAAACGAATTTTCCTGGACATTTATTTTCACTCAGGTATAAACTGATATAAAAGTAAATGTGTGAAAAATGTATGTATCATAAAGAAGTATAACATTTTACTCAGTGGAGTATAGAACAGGAATTCTAGTGAAGCAGACCTCCGTTGATGTCTCGTGTGTAACTTGGTGTCATATTTCAACCAGTGATGTGGGTGAAATGATGGGCATAAAACCCTGTAAGGTGTCACATAGGCATACATGTATAAAATGCCTAGAATATCTTCTCTCAGAGAAGCCCATGAAAAGATTAGATTGCATAGTTTTTCATCTTTTAAGAATTATTGCCTTTTTAAAGGGGACATTAAAATATACAGAATGACAATAAGTATGTTATATATTTGTATCCACATCCTTCCAGTTTCATGTGACAAAGTAATTTTTTAGTTTTGTTACTACTACTGTCTGACTTGACCTGATAACTTTGTAATGTATATCTACATGCCTCACTCTTGAACACGGACTGTTGTGATGTTTTTATTGGTCTTCGTTTTATTGTACCTTTTATTGCCTTTTCTGAATCACTGTTCAGAGTTCAGAAATAACCTGACAAGGTGTTGGCCAGAGAAAAGTTTTCCTGACCTAAGATTCCAAGTTCCCATAGTATTATCTTCAAAATATGCTGTAACTTTTCTTTTCAAATTCCTGTTTGGTCAGTATTCATACTGAATGTCTTAAGCAGTTCTGCTTGTAGACACTTATACTGAAGACTTGGCTGTCATGACTATGTATTTGTGGTTTTGTTCACTTTTTAAACCAAATGCTGGATTAGGATCTTGCATAATAAGCCACAGTCACTTCCTTGAAACTTATACAATTATTTATAGTTATCCTATAATTTCATACAGTATAACCAATACAGATGATGCAGCATAATTAAATAACCTGAGAATCGATTAGTTTTCACCACTACATGAAACATCCAGGAGCTGACCACTCTCCTCCTTTTGGAATGTGTGGAGGGGTAAGTTTTGAGCTTACTTTACTTTAAGAGCAAGAAAAACAATGAAAAACTTGATCTGCTGATGTTATTAAGGATCTGGCTTATGTATTTTGTTTTAGAACTGTGAGGAAGGGGGAGGTGAATTTTATGCTCTTTGTTATGTGAAACTGTTAACCCTTTCAATGCTGAAATTGAAAGAACAGTTACATGGATTATTGTCTTCTGCTATGAACATGTCTGTTATTTAAAGCCGTAAATGAAAGAAAGCTGTTATTTTGTGTTTAAAATGATAAAATAATTACTAATGGTTTTTCAACATTAAAAACCATGGAAAAACATACAAGGTATTTTTTCTGTACAAAATCTCAGCAAGGAAAAGGTTAAATTTCAGCTGTGTACAGTTATTTATTGTCATTATTAGTCTTATTGTTGCTAAATTTAATTTGGAAAACCAGTGCCTTCTGTTTGTATATTTGATGGTTGGTTTTTATGTCTATGAATCAAAAACCACAAATACCTCCAGGTGTCAATATGATTGGTGAATTTATTGTTACTGATAATAGACCATGTCATGGATAGGGTTAAAGACATGAGTTGCAGTTCAGCAGTCAGTCTGTTTGAAACAGCTCTTTGTTGATTGCAAAAATTGCTGAAAAAAGAAAGTGAAGAGTACCATATTCAGTGGGTGTCTTTGTCAGGATTAGATCCATTATGATGATAAACTGCTAAGTGTTGAGGTAAGAAAGCTGGGGGGATAAACCTAGATTTGTTGTGCAGAGAAGATGCAGAAACAGCCAACAGTTACATTTACAGAATTTAACCTTTAATTTTGTGGTCAGTAAAGACAGTTACAGATGTTCTAACCACTGCTTGCAGGTGACAAGGGCCAGAGGGAGTTTATCAGCACCTGCAGCTGGTAAAGGAAATTACAGACTAAACTAGGAAACACAAAGAGGAATGTAAGTCATGGAGTAATGCCTGAATACTTGATGCTTTCACTTGCTAAAAACAGATGGAATCAATCCACACTTTTCTTTTTAATTTTAAGTTCATGGAAGCTTAGGTCAGATGGATAAAGCAACTTGCTATGGCAATATGGCATGAAGCTAGAACAAGATGTGTATGTACTTTCATACTTTGTTTACAAAGAGAAGAATATTCTTTTTAATGTTTGTTACTGTCCATCATCTTACGGAACCCAGAGGTTCATTACCGTGTTCACAAGAGCCTGTCACTGGTCCCTATCCTGAGCCAGATTAATCCAGTCCATCCTACCCCATCCTATTTCTCTCGAGATCCGTAGGAAGGACTCGGCTCCATGGAGCATGTTTGTTACTGTCACTTGTCTTTGCTCTTCCATTTGCATCAGGCATCATCATCATACACCTTTCAGTAATAATGTGCAGTATACAGAAATAAAAAGCATACACAGTTTTGTATGAACAAGTCTTTATTATTTAAGATCCAAGTGTTTATGTTTTGTAACAGTTCTTACAGACAGTATACCATATAATACACAGTATAGAATGTGAAGACAAATATCTCTCATACTAGAACAATAATAAGAACTGAAAGAAAATTAAATGTAGTTACTTGAGCTTTCTCTACAGACATGCAAACTCATTCATGACAAGATTAAATGCAGCCTGCCCTTTGTTGTGTGTGGTGTGCTATGGATGCTGTAACTTCGTGTCATTTTCATTCAGTATTGACCATTTCCCTGCCAGGAGAATGATCAAACCAGGCAGGTAGATTCTGCTAGACATGCGACTGTCTGATCAAACCAGTGTAAAACTTGACATGAACTAAATCAGGGGTGAGCAAACTCTTCAGTGCAAAATGTGAACATGTAGCGTGTTTGTGAACTGGAATAATCGGCCTCAGAATAGGACCCATGTGAACACAGTATTGACTGGGTGGGGAATATCTTGACTGTTGGTCTTCAAATCCCTGCTCTGTAGCAGCAACAGCCCCCCCCCCACCCCATTTTATTATCATTACACAATGTACATGGTCAGTCTAGCATGCTTGGAAAGATTGTGAATGCAGTAGTTTTCATGTGTTGGCATGCTGAAACAGTGTATTTGTAGAGAATGACTGGCAGATTGATGCCACTACTAGAGAGTGTAAAAACCCTTCACATCAGAGCAAAACCCACCAGAGATTACAGTAGTCTGTTTCAAAACCTGATAGTTTGCCCACTGTGTACAAGACGGATGCACTACATCTGTTACGCGACTGTTGTGAACGATTGACACACCACAGAAAATATGTCACATTCCTCTGGAAAGACTGCATCAGGACATTCTGCTTGCTCATGCAGAGTACACAAATACGTTCAGAACATACTGTATTTTACACTAATGTAACACAACATTCAGTAGTTTCAAAGACAGAAGTTACTATAAAAACACTGCATATTTGAAATGGTACAAAATTCTATAATTCTATATAATATGAAATTCACCTTGATACACTTTATGTCCAGTGTACTATGGCAATCCTTTGATTTATGATAAAGCTTAATAGATTGCCTTGTATAACATTGGTCGAGTTAAGTGAATGATACAAATGTTAGTGGTAACAAAACAGGAAGTCTTAGAGTATGGACAGTAACAAATGCAACTTTTGGCTTCTTTTCATGTTGACTTTTTATTTAAAGAAATCTTGTGTAATTTCCATGAAAATTTAATTTTATTGTTAAAAGTGATAGAAAGTTTGAAAGATTACGGAATGTTTTCTTTATTGACAATCTCAAACTTGAAATTAAAATATATCAGAAAGGTCCATGCTTTTAAGCAAGATATAAAATATAAATCTATGGTTGATCGAAACTACACACAGCATAGATATAGCACTACGTAAGATACTAAGAATGTATTAAGATCAATGAACGTGTCTTTTCATTCAGTAGGCAAAAAGGCATGTGAATTCTCAGTTCAAAGCTGTGTTATTCTGTTACATTTAGTCTGTTTACTGATGAAATGTGAAAATGACATTAACTGTAGATAATCTACATTAAGAGAATGTATTTTCATGAGGTTCATTCATAAGCTGCAAAATATTTGAGGGAATATGAATTTCAGAATGTATTGATGCTCTATTTAAATTAATTGGCAATATTTAATTCTTATTTGAATTTAGCTGAGTACTATTTATAGAAGAAACATGTAATGTTCATGAGGTAACAAAATCCTCTCAGCTTGTCGGTCTGATGTGTCTGCCTCTGAAACATTAGGTTTCTATTTTCTGGTAATGAAACGCATTACCCAAGCTGAATTCATTGTATTTAGTCACTATGAGAACTTCAGATTTTGTATACAACAGACAAAGCATTTCTTTCTTCTAAAATTCTTGTAGCTTTATGGTTAACATACATTGAAATTTACATTTAGTGTTCCTCTAGGACACATTGAATTTTGAAAACTAAATCATGGAGCCTTAAATTGAGGAAACTTAGAACAGAGATAATTTGGTCTGAACAGCACCGAACATGCATTATTTCACTTGACATTCTCCTGTTCTTGTTACAGATTCTAATGAGAGATCCAGTACCTATAAGATCACAGTGTTGTTAGCTACTGTAAATGCCAGGTAACGTAATGTAAATCTAGTCCTCTTGGTAGTTTGATTTCTTGGCTCAGATGCTGTATCAAAAGCAGCAAAGATAATCAAATGTACCCTTAGGAGTGGGATTGAAAAGCTAAATTTTATTTATTCACACATGTCTGCTGTCTGGCAGGTGGAGTATTCATGTTAACCACGTTAGCTTTTCATTGTTCAGTGGAACACGCCAGAACTGATCAGATAAAACGCACCGTCAGCCAGTGACGTGCTGTTACCCACTGGTTATTAATATTGCTAAGTTAATGGAACTTTCTGAACTGTATAACTTATGTAGAGCCAAACAGGACAATAACTGTGAGCCGGGATTGATGTGCAAGGTACTGACCAAGCATTTGTTTGGATGGTCTGAGGTAAACCTTGAAAAAACTCAGGCATGATATAACATACCTCTTGGTTGTGACCTGAAGAAATACGTAAAGAGTTTTTGGTCAGAAAACCTCCATAGATTTGTGGCATTAAAATTGTTTATACACTGGAGGATCAGAAGGCATTACAGACGTTTTTATTAAAGAATGTAACTGTAATATTCTCCAGACAACAAGAATGGCTGCAACCAACAGTGACTACTGTTTTGATAACATTAATTCACGTTACAGTGTAAAATTCTAATAACAGTCCATTGCATTTGATTCTGTGTCTGCATGTGAGGACAGGATGTCATCTAGCAATGAACCCAGGTCATTACTATAGTAATCCAACCACTGGGTTTTCTGTGTCACCATCTCACTAAGATTGAGCTTTGAAATGGCTTCCAAGAAATGTTCTCCGTTTACATGTACCTCTGAATCGAGATTAAAGTTTGTGGTGACGATGGACGACGTATTATTGCCGGCTTTTAGATAATCATTGTAGACATCTGCCAGCAGGTTTATATCGGTCTCACTAACAATGGCTTCAATGACTTCATCCGAGTCATTGATCAGTCTTGATCGTACAGCAGCGATCTCACCTTCACCACTGTCCATGTTGGTTGTCCTTGTCTGATTCACTTTACTTACAGGAGTCAGACAACTGTGGACCTCACAGCCAAATGAGTCGTACACACCTTTGAAATTACTGTTTGTAGGTTTCACACAATTGCTCACAAGGTCAGGAAGTGGTTTTGGTGCCTCTGTGTCTGGGACAAGCCCGTGCCTCATCAGCACGCTGTTCAGAGTTGTGACAATGTCTGCAGCTTTGCATACGACCTGGAGATCGTGGTCATGAAGGGCAGACAACAGCACCTGATTGAATGTCACAAGAAGGTATGTTAATATTTAACATTAGCCATACAAACACTGGGCAAATACAATCTGGGTATGGTATAATCTGATAATCTGAAATAATCAATGGAAGGGCTCAACAAATTCCAGACAAAGTAATGAATTTTCATGAATACAGTGACAAATAAGCCATGAAAAATTTACTGTGCTTTATATTCTCACATGTTCAGTTTTGTTTGGTACTTTTGCTAGAAGCTGCCAGCAAAAATAAAATGTAATTAAGTATTGAAATTAGTTTATTTATTCTCGGGCTCAGTGTTTGAAAGTATGTACGTAAAGCACAACACTACAGTTCGCTGTACTTTGAAATAAGGTTATTTATACTTAATTTGGTTCAGTTTATGCAGTACGAGGCTCGTGTCACACACCTGCAAACATCTGATTCGTGCCAGCTCGCCTAACACTTTGTTCAGCCGCAGTTTGATCTCGTTTTCCGTCAGCAGCACTATTTTCCGATTTTCCTTTGAGAATGTAACAGATGGAAATACACCATCAATCATTCCCTGGTCTGACATCTGTCGCTCAATCACTTTCTCCCAGAACTGGAGTGCATTAACTTTCACCTCCCAGTGTAAGTCTGACATGGCTGCAAATGCCATCGCCATGAATACATTCCCTAGTTCTGCTTTCCTACAATAACACAAATAACGACATTAAAAAGAGGCAGTGTCACACAAAGAAAGTCTGCGTTTCATTCCTATTATTTCTATTGTCTCAGTTTTGTGCTGGCTCTTCATATACATGAATTCCGACAACCGCACGAATATCGATTTATTTAGAAGATTAAACTGTTTTATGATATGATACACATCGAGCAGAATTGATTTCTGTGTCACCGGAATGTATTCTACACTTTAACTCCTGAGATATTACATCACTACCAAGGCATGGGGAATTATTCCAGCTGCTGATAATCAACTAGCTTAATTATCGCCTCTTCCAGAGACCATTTATCTTTAATTTCTTGTGCCAGATTCATGTATATGTAAACTGCTTCTATGTAGGTGTTTTGAACATTGCTTCTGTCTTCAGACTTGATCTCTGTTATGATTATGGTGAACTGTGAACAACCAGATTTTCCAGTTGAAACTTCAACTTTGTGTACAGAATGATCAGTGTTTCATAATAGTATGGCCTTACAGTCCTTAAATATGGCAGTAAAAACTGGGCTATTATCAGAACTGAATCTCGCCTCATTTCTGAGGTTCTGCCATGTGTGTCAAAGAGAAATACACAACTCACAAGAACTTATGATGTTCATAGATCTCTTTCAGGAGGGCAGCTGCTTCGCGACGGACAATCCCCTCACTCTCGCCCTGCAGGATTGCCATCATCTTACTCTGGAACACCACAAGTACCAATAATCACAGACCTTCCATAGTGAATAGTCCTACACTGTGCAGAAGTACGTAACAACCGTCATGACAAACACAAATCAAAGCATGAGGGGAAAGAAGCCCTGTCTGCACTAGGCACTGCCAGAAATAGTACATCCTGCAATGGAAAAAAAAATCATTTAAAAATGTTTAGCTGTACGAATGATTAATATATCAGCACTTTCAAGTATCTGGATCGAAGGAACATATTAAACTTGTATCAAGCATCCCAGCAAAACTGTGTATGAAACTTTTTTTTACATTCCAAAGTATAAAATATATCCACAAGGGCAAACAAATTATTTAGATATTTACCTTCTGTAAAAACTATTTATGTGCAATCGAAACAAGATTTCCAGGGGATGAGAATGATGCAAGACAGGAAAATAAAGCAGACCATGTGACAGCACAAGAAAGGATGAGACAGGATTCACTCAGAAAGCTTTAAATAAGAAAAATGAGAACTGTAAAAGATCTGAGGTTGTACTTGTTATTCACAATAAATGGAAACAGAATAAACAGAGAGGCAGTCGGTCATGTGACTCACTGGTAAGTTTTGTGATGCAAGGCAGTCTGTCCAGAAGCGCTGTACACGCACCATGGCACATAAACACTTAATGGCCGATGCCCTCACATAGCTCTCCGAGTCATCCATTGCGAGAACAAGCACCAGGGTACACAATTCATTTTCCAGTACATGTTCCTGGAATGCTGGAAATTCTGTGGAGAGAAAGAGGATTTCAACAATCATGTTTAATATCCTATAAACAATATGCAGTAGTTTAATTCTTGGACAATTCTGCATAAAGCAAAGAGATTGTACAGTAATGCTGTAAGTCTATAGTTTCTTTATGTCTACATTTCAGTGCTCACTGATCTCTGCGATGGCTGTGACGACTTGCAGAAGTTCAAGTGCACTGTCTCGCACATCCCAGTTCATGTCGTGCAGGCGTTTGTGCAAGATAGGACCCAGCTGGTCAATGGTGGATCCCTTTAGTGTGTTCATGAGCAGAGCCAGGTTTGGAGGCATGAAGTTCTGTATCGCCACTTGCATCAGCTGCAGTCCCTGTACAGACAGCTGCAACACACGGCTCCAGTTAATACAGTCCCACAGGCAAGTGAACGGGAGCCAACGACACGTATCATAAGAACAAATTCTAGTTCAATCTGTGTGGTGACACAAGTACAATTATATAATGCAGTGATTCATTACCACCAGCATAGATTGTGACCATGTGAAATTATTCAGTTTAACCTTAAAATGTTATAATCATCACCATTTTTGGGCCGTTAATGTACAAAACAAGTTTTATATATTTATGGTCAAGCACCTTACAAAATTCCAACAGTTTGTTAGTCATTCCAACTTAATCAAAAGTTGAATAATTTTGACGTAAATACGTCTATATTGAAGGGTCATTCCGCAAAAAAGTGTTACGAAAAAGTGACAGGAAAATGTGTAACATGGTTACCTAGGAAATATCAACATTTTGTAAATATGGACTGACAACAACGGTCAGCTTGTATGCATTGTTATGTTACCTAGGAAACGTCATCTGTTACTCGGCATTGTTGTGTTACATTACTGCCGTCAACAACTCGCTTTCGTTATTGCGGAAAGAGCTGAGCTGTGAAACGCTTGTAGAAGAAGTGCGTCGTAGACTAGATTTCAGCTACCACAGACCCATCTTAAGCGTAACTAATTCAAGGTAGGCAGTACTGTCTTACTCAAACTTCAATCAATTGTAAAGCGTGTATAAAGAAAATATTTAGAATAAAGCCACTACATAAACTCCTTACCGTATAGAAGTATTTACGTCAAATTCTCCGGAACCGTGGTTCCACTGTAACTTTTTGAAGATGTAGTACCACACAAAATGTCATGACCTTACAGTAAGTTGTGTTAGTGTTACTCCTCCTACTGTACAGTTATGTTAGGAAATTTAAAAAAAGTACAAATAGTTACAGTGTCTAACAGTGGCATGATGCTCATACCACATTTCATTAAAATCTGTGAAATGGATATAATGAATTCACAGAGGGAAGCACTCAACATGTCACATACTTTGGGTGAGAGGCTGGGATTTTTCAGCAACAGCTGTGTGAAGCTGAACAGGCATATCGTCTCCACGCTCTCATGCCACGTGATGTGGAAGCAGTGAATGAGTGAGGTCAAGGCATCAAGCACAGCTCCCAGCAGTTCAGGATGTTGAATTACATAATCAGGCCCTGTCAGACCATCCATGTTGGGTTCTTCAAGAACAAAATCTTTCAGATTGTACATAAATGCTTGGTATGCTATGACTGCCAACTCCTGCAACAAAGACAAAGCAGGGAACTGAAACTGGCCAAGAGCACGTGGCTGAAGACATTCACAGGAAAAGTTAATTCAAAAGCTTTATCATAGTGTGTTTTAATTTGTTCATGTAATATTGGTACAGCATTTAATCTCAGGGGATGAGATATGCAGGACATATAGCATGTATACAGAAATGTTTACAATCTATGATTGGGAAACCTCATGAAATATAGAAAGCACCTCTAGAAACTTCTGGAACCTGGGCACCAATGGGAAAAATTAAAAAAAAATATGGTGTGAAATTTTGGAACAGATTTAAGTGGCAAAGGACAGGCTTTTGGGAGCATAATGATGAAAGTCTGATCCTTACCATATTCATAATATTTTTGATCTGCAGGATACTCAACATGGCCTGATGGGCTAGCACATGTTTATTTTCTTGAATTCTGAGGATGTCACGATATGAATATGCCAGCCGCTGAGTTTCCTCACTTGTCAGCCGGAACAACTTGTTGGTGTACAATTCGAGACAGTCGTTGTCCGTAAACTTGCTCCTGACACATCCCAGCATAGGTAGTAACTGCAGCATGTGAGAGACACTTACATTTAATTTAATTTTAATAGCTTTTGAGGATTGGTTTAGGCAGGACTTATGTCATATGACTACTTGCAAGAGTCATGCATATTGGAAACAGATATGTTTCAGTCAGGCATATAAACATTAATGTTGTAGGGTATGATGATGAAATAATTGAGGAAATAGAAACGACTAAATTTCTTGGCCTACAAGTCGACAATAACTTAAATTGGAAAAAACTTATTCAATACATTATCCCTGAACTAAGTTCAGCATGCTTTGCTATGGCTGTCACATCACTTGTGAAAACAGAAGCTTTAAAATTAGTCTGCTCTGCTTACTTCCATTCGATCATGTCGTATGGAATCATTTTCTGGGGAAACTCAGCAGACAGCAAACAAGTATTTTACATTCAAGACAAATTCATTATAATAATGGCAGACACTAAAAGAAGAACCTCATGTGGGGAATTGTTCAAGAAATTTAATATTCTTCCACTAACCAGCAAATTCTTCATCTCATTATCATCATTTGTAGCAGACAATGTAGAAAATTTTCAAACAAACTCTGATATCTACAATATAAGTACAAGACACAGAGATAACTTTCATATGCCCAACACTATACTTAGTAAATATAAAAAAAAGAGTTTAGTGTACTTGAATTATGCCATTCAGGAATTTTCCCCGCCCCTACTATGAAAAGGATGAATTACCTGGAATACCATGAGCTGAGTATCAAAGTTAAAATGTTTAATTTCACTCTGTTCATTTAGAGAGACAAATTCTGAGATTTTATGCCAGCAGAACTGGCACTGCACCACAATATTCATGAAGTTTGTG